GGTGGCTTAGTGGTTAGAAATGTCGCCTCACAGCAAGAAGGTCATTGGTTCGATTTCCGGCTGGGTCAGTTGGCAATTCTGTGTGGAGTTTGCATGTTCTCCCCATGTTGGTGTGGGTTTCCTCCAGGTGCTCCGGTTTCCCCCACAGTCCAAAAACCTGCGCTACAGGTGAATTGGATTAACTAAATTGGCTGTAGTGTATGAGTATGCGTGAATGAGAATGTATGGGTGTTTGCCAGTACAGGGTTGCAGCTGGAAGGGCATCCACTGCGTAAAACATATGCTGGATAAGTTGACTGTTCATTTCACTGTGGCGACCCCTGATTAAAAAAAGAGACTAAGCCGAAAGAATATGAATTAATTATATATATATATATATATATATATATATATATATATATATATATATATATATATATATATATATATATATATATATATATATATACTTGATCACGATTAATGAACGATTATTTAATTTATTTTTTATGCTTTTGCCCACATTGTTCACTGACAGGTTTTGTACAGTAAATATGCTCACATATTACGAGTGAGAGATTTTTGAATGAAGGGTGCATTGCCTGATTTTGAAACAATTGAAGGATACACACACTATTAACTATCTATGATTATTTACTTCAACGATGAACAACTGAAATTAAAACACACATTGCATACAACAAACATTAAAAAAAAACTTTATTTTCTTAAAGGGAAAATAAATTTTTGGAAACAAAATTTATTATTATTATTATTATTATTATTATGTTTTCCATATTAAAGTAGAAAAAAGCTTCTAAATAAAATAACTCTTGTATATCCTGTAAATAACACTTTAAACAGTGCACTTCTTTAATCTTCTGTAAACAAATATTTTTTTGTAAATAATAATTTTATTGTAATAGAAAATATGCCATTTCAAAGCTTTTCTGACGCAGCTTCTAATCATCGTCAATGTAGTTCAAACGTGCAACGTATAGGTACATTTTTTGAGAGCTGCGCGAATATGCTACTGCACGAAGACTACGTCAGACCATACCTATAGAGAAGTATGAATCAGCCTTCAACAAATTGTGTCGTGTGACTCACACGGTACAGAAAGTAAATGAAAAAAATTTACCTGGAAAAATTTGATTGATTATAGATTCTGAATGTCGATATCGATTACTTTTCGATTAATCACCCAACCCTAGTATATAATGCCTCATGTTTCCTACTTCTTAAATAACAACAACAACAATAATAATAACAATAATAATAACAATATTATTATTATTATTACTATTATTTTATTATTATTTTTATTTTTATTATTACTATTATTTTATTGTTATTAATATTTTATCGTTATTATTATTACTATTATTTTATTCTTCCTGTTATTATTATTACTATTATTTTATTATTATAACTGTATAGTTCTGAAATTATTATTTACTGCAATTATTATTAACTGTAGTTCTTCCACAGTGTTCAATCATCTCAGTCTCTCAGCAGGAAATGATCAATGCATGAATAATAAATGAAAAATAAACATACCTTTCCGATCTCATCTTTCAGCTTGTACTGGTTGAGCTGCACGCAGTCCTTTTGGAATAAAAGACAAACAACATCAATCAATACCACTGGGCTTTTTTATACTAACCTATACAGTACTGGCTATATACAGTAGATGGACAACTATATTTCATCCAGCGTAACCAAAGATCACAGCGAACGCAAACTTGATTCTCTCTTCAAGAATCAAAAGCCTTAAGCAAGAGAAGTACTACAGGGAGTACATGAGCCGGGATAAAAGTACACTAACTAAAAACTACACGCATTTACTGCTGATTTCTCATCCTAATGGAGAAGCAGAAGCATCTACAGGGGAGCTTTTTCTTAACAAGCGCCATTAAGAGGAAGGTAAATGCACCTGTCTGTAACCTTACCTTACAAAACCTCTCAACCTTGACTGTGAAGACGTGGAGAAGTGCAGAGAATGAAGAAAAGGAAATGTGCTTCTCAAAAGACAACATCATTTTTTTGTTCGCAAAAGCAGCTCAAATTATCTTAGGTCACAGAATTCTATTCGTTTTTTCTGCTACTTTAATTATATAATCTTACACAGCCATTGTGATGTCCACAAAGATAAGCTGTATTAAAGCGACAGCTCTTTTAAGAAGTAAAATTCTATCATTTACTCATCTTTCATTTGTTGTTACTAAAAATAATGTTTTTATTCTGTTGAACACAATAGAAGATAGTTGAAAACCAGTAAGTATTGGTTTCCATAGTATTTATTTCCTACTATGGAAGTCAATGGTTACCGGTTTCCAACATTCTTTAAAATATCCTCTTTTTCGTTCAACAGAAAAAAAAAAAACTTAAGATTTTTAAACCACTTAAAGCAGGGGTCACATGTACTTAAGTATTCACACTCACAGCCTTTGGTCAATACTTTGTTGATGCACCTTTAGCAGCAATTACAGCCTCGAGTCTTTTTAAATATGATGCCACACGCTTGGCACACCTGTCTTTGGGAATCAAGCTCTATCAGGTTAAATGGGAAGTGATGGTGTACATCCATATTCAGATCTCTCCAGAGATGTTCAATAGGCTTTAGATCTGGGCTTTGGCTGGGCCACTCATATTCACCAAGTTGTTGTGAAGTCACTCCAAAACATAAACAATCCCATTAACAACACAATGGAGTTTAATGCTGAAGACACTAAGCTGCATGTGCCATTGATTTGATTCGCTCGCTGATGTCTTGTGCATTGCCATATATCCGTCGAGTGACAGCATTTACATTTTTACAAAACAAAATGGGCAAAAGCTTACATTAAATTTAAAATGATGATCTCAGTCTGCAATATTCGCCCTAACCAACCCTCCTCATCATTATCCCTCTCTTCTCAAATGGGACATAGGGCCAAATCAAAGGTTACCATAGGCCAACTTTAGCCTGCAGGCCCTAGTTTGGGCATCTCTGGTTTATATAGTCTATATATAGGCTGATATTTAGCATTTTTAAAATAATCTTTATTATTATTTATTAAGTTTTTCTTTATTTGGTGAGTGTGTGTTTTTTTTGACAGTCGATGGGACTTTTATTTTAAGAGTTAAAACACCAGCGGCTAAGTTTGCATTCTCTGTGTTCACTGGTTTATGTTCGTTTATAACAGTATATTTAACAGTATATTTGACAGTCAGAACGGTCAAACCTAGCTAATAAACAACAGTATGTGCGAATTATAGATTTTGCTTTGCTGTTATTAGTAATAAAAAGGTAAGTTCTATGCCATGCTTTCTTCCCAACTGCCAGCATTCAGCAAGCATATCACATAATTAAGTCTTTGAATGTCAAATAAAGATTTAATTTTGTATTCATGTCATATTCAATGTGGACTATATGCAAAATTTGCACTCGCATTTCAAGTACAAATTGCTGTCAGATTACTGAGTGCTCTGGTGGTCACAGTGATTATTCCTTTTTAATATTTTTTAACAGAAGTACTATAATAGGATTACTGAATCAAGGGCTGCTGTAAACTTTCGAGTTCCCTAAATTATTATTCAATGGGAGTGCAGACTCACAAGATTGTGATTAAAATAGTGGTAACCACAGCAACATTTTGCCATTTTGTGCATTTGTTGTCTTCTTTTTCTTTTTAGCATTTTTAATTAATTATTTATTTATTTATTCATTCATTCATTTTCCCTTGGCTTAGTCCCTTTATCCATCAGGGGTCGCTACAGTGGAATGAACCACCAACTATGCCAGCATATTTCTGCTGTTTTACATAGCGGATACCCTTCCAGCTGCAGCCTTGTACTGGGAAACACCCATACACACTCATTCACAGTGGCCAATTTAGTTCATTCAATTCACATATAGCACATGTCTTATGCACTGTGGGGGAAATCAGAGCACCCAGAGGAAACCCACTCCAACACGGGGAGAACATGCGAACTCCACACAGAAATGCCAACTGTCCAAGCCGGGGCTCAAACCAGCGACCTTCTTGCTGTGAGGCGACAGTGCTAACCACTGAGCTACCATTATTTTTATGTATTTATTTTATTTTTAAAATCAGGATCATTCCACTAAATATTGATTCCTTAACTCGTCTAAAGTTAACACAATGGTATAGTGTTGTCTAAAAATGAATATATAAACATGTCTGAAACATGACACTCGAAATGTCCATGTTTTAATTTTAGATTAAGACGAATGTAAGACATGCGATTAGTAGTACAAAATAAAACAAAACCTATATTGTAACACATGATTATTAACACATTAATTATAAATCTAGAGTAAGAAAATTTAAGCTTTCTTTCTTTTTGTCATAGCTATAGAGAGAGAGAGCTATCTATCAGTCTATTACGCTTAACAAACCAACATCAGCTGTCAAAATAAAAGAAATCAATATCAGTTGCCCACTACTTTCCTAACAGCGTTCCCACACTTCCAAACCTGCTTGTGCATGCATTAAAGTGAGTTCACCCAAATGTGATAATTCTGTTATCATTTACTCACCCTATAGTTGTTTAAAACCATTATGAGTTTCTTTCTTTTTTATGTCGGCCAAAAAATAGTATTTTTCCTACTATGGAAGTCAATAGTTACAGGTTTCAGCATTCCTCAAAATATCTTCTTTAGTGTCCAACAGAAGAAAGAAACTCTTAAAGGTTCAGAAACACTTGAAGAAAAGTAAATAGTGAGTGAATTTTCATTTTTTGGTAAACTATCCCTTTTAATCATATCCGATTTTACAATGATTTACATTTAAATTAAGATACTTAAATTATTTGTATTATTTATTAAAAAAAA